AAAACGAACATGTGGTGGCCTACTTCAGTAGGGTTTTGAGTAGACCAGAGAGGAACTACTGTGTAACACGGAGAACTCCTTGCTATAGTAAAGAGTCTATCATATTTCCATCCTTACCTTTATGGTGCTAGGTTTACCATCAGGACGGGTCATACTTCGTTATGCTGGTTAAGATCATTAAAGAACCCAGAAGGACAACTGGCACGTTGGATCAGAATGATAGACCAGTATAATTACGATATTGAATACAGAGAAGGAATATCTCATGGAAATGCCGATGGACTGAGCCAAAGACCCTGCAAAAATGACTGCAAACGTTGCTGCAAAAGGGGGGTTGAGCTAACCAGGTGTCATCAAGCTGAATTCAAAGTGATGAAGGAGTTGATGATGGTGAAGTGGAACCAGGTATAGATATTAAATCAGAGCAGGAGAAAGACAAGATTTGAAGCCAATAATTGATTTTACTGGATAGGTATGAGGCAAGATGTGGAAGAGTGGTGCAGGACCTGCAGTACATGTTGCTTTAAAAGGGGACCCAAGCATAGGGGACGTGCTCCAATGAAGTTATATCAAGTTGGCACACCAATGGAAAGAGTAGCTATTGACATTGCTGGTCCTTTGCCCCAAACTCGTGCTGGAAACAAGTACATTTGTGTGGTGATGGATTATTTCACCAAGTGGCCTGAGCCATATGCAATACCAAATCAGGAAGCTACAACTGTAGCTTCGGCTATTAGTGATATCTTCTTCAGGTTTGGTATGCCATATGAACTGCATTTGGATCGAGGCCGTAACTTTGAATCAGCTGTGTTCCATAAATGCTGCAAGTTGTTTGGCATCCGAAAGACCAGGACAACGCCACTTCACCCACAGTCTGATGGGATGGTAGAAAAGTACAATTGGACACTGGGACATGAATTGGCAAAGTTTCGTAATAGCCGCCAAGATGACTCGGATATCTTACTCCCTCCACTGGATACACCGCATGAAGTCACTGGATACACTCCAGCAAAGCTGATGTTTGGTCGGGAACTTCGGTTGCCAGTGGACCTGATAACAGGTCGACCACCTTACAAAGAGCCTGAAAATGGGCCAGAGTTCGTGAAAGTGTTATCGGAAAGGATGGATGATATTTACCATCAAGTACGTAAAGTGTTTGTTAATTTTTCGTAGAAATTCTTTCCGAGAAACTTCAGCAATACAAGTTTACAATACTAGTTTATTCTTTCTCGATACAACTTTTCAATACACAGAATTTCCACAGTCAATACGTTTGCAATCTCAACAAAACACACACTTTATATTACCATCACTACTGCTTGCTTGACTCAATTATCTGTCTCTATATCTATCTATTTGCCATTGTATCTCCGCTTTATTTGCCGAGCTTATATACTAAAAAAAAGGGCGCCTGGAACAGACTAGAGTTGCCAGAAAAAGTCATGTTCCTTCTAGAAACTCCAGCACGCATTCTTCCAGGATCGCGTGACTTCCGCTGTCGTAACACTGCCCCTTCCTTAGTATTGTTCATCCCGATCAGTAGCCACTTATATTAAACTTATAGATAATTAACAATAATTTAATTAAATGTTCAGAATTTACAAACAAAATTAAAATACAACAAAGTCTCTTAATTTTATAGGACATTTCTTCTTTCGTACTAGTCTCCATCTCATTGGCTTCTGCTTCACGTGGGATTCATCTGCTCCATCAGGAAATGTCCCACTATCGCTAGCAGTCACATCAGTGGTAGTAACTACATTAACGGCTTCAATGTTTTCCTTCTCAAAACCGGGTAGAGTTTCTTCTTCAACAGTGGCTTTTTCAGGTGACACGTCTTCAGCTACGTCACATGTTCTGTTGTTCATTTCGTTCCAACTGAAATGTCCTGGATCGTGATAATGCCAAAGACTGTTGGCATGCACCACCTTCGGCTTACCTCGCCGACCACATTTGATTCGGAAAGTCACATCTGAGAGATGATCCACTATGTCATATAGGCCTTCCCATGTAGAAGACAACTTGGGAGACTTCCCTTTGGTCTTCCTGGGATTATACAACCACACCTTGCCTCCTAGTACAAAGCTGACTTCAGTAGATTTCTTATCAAACATAGCTTCATGGAATCAGCAGATGTATTTAAGTTTGAACGCACTTGATGATGAATATCATCCATCCTTTCAGATAACAATTTCACGAACTCGGGCACATTTTCAGTCAACTCTTCGTAAGGTGGGCGTCCTGTTATCAGCTTTGCTTGAGTGTATCCAATGGCTTCATGCTCTGCTTTCCTATAGGCCATCAACAGTGGAAGGAGTAAGACATCCCAGTCAGACTGTGGGCGAAGTGGCGTTGTCCTGGTTTTTCATATGCCAAACAACTTGCAGCACTCATGGAACACAGCTGATTGAAAGTTACAGCTTTGATCTGAATGCAGTTCGTATGGTATACCAAACCTGAAGAAGAAATCACTAATAGCCGAAGCTACAGTTGTAGCTTTCTGATTTGGTATTGCATATGCCTCAGGCCACTTGGTGAAATAATCCATCACCACACAAATGTACCTGTTTCTAGCACGAGTTTGGGGCAAAGGACCTGCAATGTCAGTAGCTACTGTTTGGAGCACGTCCCCTATGCTTGGGTCCCCTTTTAGCACAACCTACTCCCACGAGATGGTGCTCTATTAAATTTTTATTAGAGTATATTTGTACAGAGCGAAAGTTAAAATATGCTTACAACATACTTGTAAAAAGTATTCTTAACATAAACTTAGACCAGGAAGCTCCAGGATCACATAAAAGTTTAGACATCATGTGACACAATAACTTAGGATAAAGTTATTTTCTTTAGAGATGCTTAAATCAACAAACATTATACAAAATTGTTGCCCTCCAGTAAATCATTCGGCTTATAACGCTAAAAATCGGAGCCATTTTGCTGTATAAATGTAACTTTAAAAATTTTTATAAGCACTCTGTGGCTCAACGGTAAGTCTGAGGGCTTATAACCCTAAAAATTGGGTTTCGATATATACGGTTGGCAGAACACATATTTTCATTTTTAGCTTCGTGCTTAAGAGTAAACAAACAAGACTTTTATAGACGGAGCCACAAGGCGTTCCAGAATTAATACCTTCAGACTATATTCTCAAGATACCCGGCTTATCTTTGGATGCGAACCTGGTACAAGCTGGTACAGGTGTACTGATAACCACGAAGACTGTAACATGGGACCTTTTAATGATAAGAAGATATAACTGATTTTAAGAAGAACTGTTCATCACATCAGAGGTGTCATATTCTTAGACTTGCTGTAAGTTCTCCAAAACTATGGCGAGAGCTATAAGTATAATTTACAGTCTGTTTTACGTCATAGTGCTTTCATCAGGTAAGACATTTTAACATGTAATCAAACAATTCGGTTATTTGACAAAAATTCAAAATGACTTTTCATATATTCGTGTAGCTCTACGATAATTAGCTGTAGAATATTAACTTGAAAGGATATCATTTCCATCGTCTATATCATTAAACTAAACGAGGTAGTTTATTCATATCTACAGATCTAGATTGAAATCTGTAATTTAATTGTTTCCACAGTCAGAATTTCAGTGTTTACGTATCTGAATCAAAATTTATAACGTGGTGAAATTTTTACAATTTGGAAACGCGTCTAAAATTGACAGACTGTAACTCCAATGGTTCGTGGTTCACGTCTGATTGCTTCAAATACGCTGCTCCGCAGTATGTAATAGCAGGTGTGCAATAAGAGTTACAGGCAAATCCCACTATAAGGTCACAAAAAAGCAGCCCAAAAGTTGGCGGTGGGTCCTGTTCATTAGCTGTCTTCCCTTTAGTCTATCAGTTCAAAGACGGATAGCCAAGATTGAGTAGCTTAGCACAAAATTGAAAACAAAAACGACTAGAGTTCTAGATTAAAATCTGAAACTTATTACAATTTCTAGCGTCTGAAGATATGGGCTGAAACCGGTACTGTAGTTTATTAAAATTTCCAGCGTCGAGAGTTCTAGAGTAAAATCTGAAACTTATTACAATTTCTAGCGTCTGAAGATATGGGCTGAAACCTGTACTGTAGTTTATTAAAATTTCCAGCG